TTTTCTGCATCGCGGAAATCATAGGGCCCTACTAATGTAGCAAACGAATATGAGCTCATTGTAAGAGGGCATTGATGTTTATTTACTTAGCATTAAGTCTCTCCAAGTAGGTGACAACGTAGTGAGTGTTAAATCACCATTCAACAGACTCAAAGCCACCACCGCACTGCCATCTATTGAACTGCAGAAAGATACTAACTTTTCAATCTGCTACGTTACTGACTGTACTGACAAACTATGCTGACACCGTGTCTGCGCTGCAACAGAACGCATCAAAGCGACCATTGAAAATCATTTGAACTTCTGTCAGCACGTCATAAATAGAACGAGGCATCAGTTTACTGAATCCGGTGTAGACAACATAATGGGTTTTATTCTAGGGATGCACCGACACCACTTTTTCCAGTACTCGCCCGATACCGATACTTTTATTTTTGATACTTGCCGATACAGAGTACCGATACCAATATTTTTTTATTGCATTTGTAATTTTTTTTAAATATTGGGTACAGAAACCAAAAGAGTATGTATAATGTTAGTTGGTTAACTTAATTTATCAAATAGATAGTCAAACCAAAATTTATTCAGACACCTTCAACATTTCTCACATTATCACAGTTTATTTGCTATAGTTTTATAGTTAAACTGTGTCAGAACAAATTCAGCTTGATAATGTTCGATAACTTTGATAGAAAGGTATGTAATAGATTACAATCAGTGAGTGAACATCAAAGATCACACAACAGAACTGCGCGCACGTTCTCTCTCTCTCTTGCGCTCTCTCTCTCTCCCTACCGTTAAGTAACTTGTGCATTGTTTTACTTACTTGTTTTTGACATATCCGACCGAACTACAAACTTTCCAGTGATGTCTGTGAGAAAGATATATTCACTCGACAAGCTCGCGCATCTGCGCCGCCGCGCGCTCAATCCACTCAGCATGCTTTGTTTATCAGCTCGCGCACATCAGCTATACAGTAAATACTGAATGTTTAACATTATATTCATTGCATACATATACTTCGTAGTAGACATCATTAACTCCATTCTGCTGTATGTTGTTCTGTTGTCGGTGTTTCTTTGTCTGAATATGGCGCTTATCACATGCTGTGTGGTATCGGCATTTGGTATCGGAGCATTTTAACGAGTACGAGTACAGGAGCTCAGTATCGGGCCCGATACCGAGTATCGTTGCATCCCTATTCTATTCTACACCGGACACGAGCGGCGCGACAAAATACAATAGAATTCTATTGTATTTTTTTGCGCCGCGCGATGTGATCGATGTGATAAGCATGAGTTCTGGGCCGTGGTTCGGCTGGTAAACACCAGCATTGAGTGGCCACGATCAGCTCCGGTGGCCGTAACACAGGCTTTAATGCGCCGCAGACGTGTGCCGTGAAGCGCAGATCAGCTTTAGTCTCTAACGTCACTGAATGTGCTGTTAAAAATGAGCCATCCATTCATCATATCATGCAAAACAAAGAATTAGAATCATTGTAATGTGACGATCAAATATAGGTGTGGGTGGGTGGCGGGCGGATAATTTGAAGCAGCGGACTCGGGTGAAGTTTGAGCTCATCCGCGCATCTCTACACTACAATGACCTGGGTCCAGTAGCAAACAATGGAGCGCACTCTGCTGGACAAACTAGGTAATTACACCATTCAGAAGCATTTAATCTGCGTTATATGTTCTGTAAAAAAAAAAAGTTCATATCGGCGGCATATTCGGCGATACAGATATATCGGCGACAGGCTCATATCGGCTAAACGATATATCGGTCGGGGTCTAGCAAAATACACAAATTTCAGCATAAAAAACACAGTCCTTGGATAAGAGTTTTAAATACACATTGGTACAAGGAGATTTATAAACTTAAAACACCAAATTGACATTTTCACAATTATATTAAATGTACTTTAAAGTCCAATTCCACAAATTATAAAAAGTTATCAGCTGTATCCAGCTGATCATATTCAGAAATAAATGTCACATTCCAGAGATTATGAATTTAATGCGGATAACACATTTTGAATAAAGTTTCAGAATTGTGAAAATGCCACCCACAGCTTGACCACCAAAACTTGATTTCCCACCGACAATGCTGTGGCATTCGTCCACAGCAGACCCATAAGGCAAGCCTAAATGAATGGAGCACAATGACACACGAGTCCCTCTATTCTTGAAGTAATCCCCATCAACGAGGCTTGGGGAATGGGGTAGGAGGAAATGAGCGGCCCAGACATGCGGCCATGGGGGATGCCCAACCCACCAGACCCGTGCCGGGATGATACTTACTTGATCCAGCTCACTGGGGGAGGATTTCGCTTTAGCGAGCACATGAAGGATTTCATTTAGGAGGGGAGAGTCCTGAGAGTGGCCATTTTATTAACACAGAAAGAAACAAGAAGGAAAATATTGCACATTGAGGACATTGAAGCACACAGCAGAGGTGCAAGTTTATTTAAATTGACCTATATTTCACTATTATGAAGTTCAAAAGCCTGAAAAAAGCAACTAATATTTTGTTTGTATAAAACTAAATATTAGAAAGTACTGTAAGTTACAGTGGAAGACAAATTAGAATAAGTGATTATTGCATTAATGGTATGACAGATCATTCCAAGTCAATTCTTCAGGGCTCAGATTTCCAAGCTGTAGTGTTATAAAGGTTTACCAGTTTATAGAATCAGATCAGCTTAGTGACTAACTCACCCACAGAAAAATTAAAAACATTTTGTCTTGTGACACGGGTCATTCTGAAAATGTCATGTTGTTAGTGGGATATTAGTCGATCGGTAAAGGTCCTCTTTCAAATTTGCTAATGTGTGGAGCCAATACTGCTTTGCTTAAAACAGAATAATCTGTTCTTTTATAAATATATTCAAAAGTGGCTGTTCATGTTGCAGGCAGGTGGTGGTATTGCGACAACTGCCTTCCCAAAACAGACTGGTCCAGCTACAAATATACATACTGCATCAACACGGTTTACACATCTAAGTCTAACTGCTGTTTGAATATTTTCATACAGGGGAAAAACTGTAATCGATCTAACAGGAAATTTTATGTAATTTTAAAGTTAAATTCTGTTGTATCACAGTAGGGATAAAATGATTACCGGTTTGACGATAAATCATGAAAAAATTCCCCACGGTTAGTATTACCATTTCATATTTTAATTATCATTAAAACTGTATTTGATTACTGCGATTTTAAGAATTCAGGATAAATAAATACCGTCCAGCATAAAGCACAGTTTTAAATAACCGTTTCATGTGTGCACAGCACGCAGAGTAGTTTTGTTTTGTGTGGAATAGCGGAAAGCTGTGAGGTTTTAAGAGTACTATGGGAATTATACAAATTAATATATGAATTAATTAATTATATGAAATTCTGTCATTACAGTGTTTCAAAGCATTTTGTGGTGGAATAACACTTGAAACATTTTTGGAATATAAATTTACGGCTAAAAAGCCGAAAAGCTAGCATGTTTCCTAAAAACACAATTACACTGTATAAAAATAAATATTTTATACACTTAATATTTTCACACTTTGTGCATAATTGCATAAAACTGCAGTTTGATTAGAAATGCAAAATAACAAAAAATTCTGTTTACTAGTGATATTTGCCATTTACCATTAAATTACAGATATAAAATTATCTGTAATTGTGTAATGAATTGTGAGCTTACAAAGCCATGTATAATATGTTTGTTCATTTTGTTGCGTGCATTATGCATTTGTGAGAACCTTTTATACTTTTAACTGAAAGCGAAATAAAACTGGGTGGAAAAGACAACTGTTGTGTTCTCTTCTCCTCGCTCATTCGCAGCATACCACGTCCACTTTTTTCAACATTTTTCATAACTGTGGTGAGAAATGACCGGTGATGAAATAGTTTTCATAACACTTTAAGCAACATCAAGCAGCAAAAGTCTGAAAGTCTCTGTACATCCACTCCTACATTTAAAAAAAAAAGTATTTTTACTGCTTGTTTAGTTTAGTTACTTAAAATTAGTTAATGCAGCAATTCTGTCACAACTTATCTATCTTGTTATGCTTTTAAGAGGTCATTGACTGACTGATAATTGCTTATTTCAGGATATTCTGCATAAGTACAGTATTCTCTTCCTCTACATCTCTGGAAAGAGAACATCTGCTACTAAAGTATTCAAGTGCACAGACAGCATACACAGACTGCAGTTACAGCCAAGGAGCATAAAGACCCATTCGTTGTATTTGTTTTCAACAGCGTCACGCAGAGCTACTGAGACCAATATGCTCTCCCTGAATCCAGGAAGACAGAGTGTCTTTTCTGACAGTTTCTTTGCAAGTGTCATTCTGTAAACGTTTTCCAGTAGACCCTTTTCAACTGGATTACAGTGAATTTCAATATCAATGATAATTGTGATAGCATGCAAAGCAGGATGTCAAATTCTCAGAAAGCCTAACTGATGATTATATAGCGAGTGTGACAGCAAAAGCATGTGCCCATTTCAAATTCATAACAGTTACAAATAAAGATTAAGATTACCATTAATCCCCAATAAACATGTCAGTCAACCATAGGCCATGTTTGGTTGTTGCTTTGCAATCTGAATACTATCTAATTAAATGACCATGTTGTGGCATGCCAATTTCTGAATTTCTTTAAAAACATTCAAATGTTTTTACACTGAGATGTTTGTGAAATGCTAGAAATGTTTGCAGACATCGAATTACATACAAAATTTTTAAAACTGCATCAATCTGACCTAAAAAAATAAAAAATCTAATTTCATCTAATTCAGATGATTAGAAATTGAAGCACACGTACCTCTATGCTGCTGCTAAGGCTGGGCAGGGTGTCTGAAATCACCGTTGTGCTCTGAATGCTAGAGAAATCCCACAGGTTCACTGGGGGTATTGCATCGGGCACTTTCACTGATTCCCCACATCTCTGACTATCCAATAAGGTCACTTCGTAAAATTCCTGGATATCTGTTAAAAGAGAAAAGATTTATTTCCTTTTTTTTCTGTAGTGCCCATATTTGAGAGAGCTTACTAAAAAAAACGTTATTCATGAAAATCAAGATACAGTGGCCCCAAAAAATATTTACACTTATGCTAAATGTAAATGTATGAATTTCACTGCCTAAACAATTTCATATAAATGTCATATTGATGCTATTATTATTCATGCTATTAATTCTAAACGGACAATACCACTGTGATTTTTTTAGTGGATCCATGAAGTTATTTCCTCTCAAGTTCATCGTGTAGTTCATCATATTAACTATGAATATGTTTCACTAATATTTGACAACCGGAAAGTGGCCAAAAAAAACTTTCTTACATTTTTAATTGTGTCTTAAGTGTCCAAATATCTTTTCTTTTTTTTTCTTTTTTTTGAGTTTTAAAGGTCATTCAAGGACACATTAAATGTGCAGATTAAAATCTTGTGAATGCTTGTTCATTAATGATCAGGGTCTCTTTACTGATGAGATTTAGTAGCCAACACAATGTATCTATAAATACACATCTTAGAGTGAACATCAGAATCAGAAGAGCTTTATTACCAAGTATGTTCACACACACAAGGAATTTGACTTGACGACAGGAGCTTCCAGTGTAGAAGAAAGTACAAACATAGTGCAGACATACATGATAGTGCAGACATACATAGGAATAACACAGTAGGGATGTAATATAACACTAATATAATAAAAATAAAAAAATGAAAATTAATTAAATAATGTACTTTATACAGAAACAGAAGTATAGGAAAAAAATGTAATTGTTTAGATAAATGTACAGATGTGTTTATTAGTGTGCAGATATGTTATTTACAAAGTGTGCAGTTTAATATAAATATAACTATGTTAGTTGTGATGGACGATGTATAATTATGAAAGATTAATTGTTCAGGCTGAATATAGCCTGTGGGAAAAAAACTGTTCTTGTGCCTGGCTGTTCTGGTGGTCAGTGCTCTGTAGCGCCGGCCAGATGGAAACAGTTCGAAGAGAGAGCGGGCTGGGTGTGAGGGGTCCAAGGTGATTTTTTTAGCCCTTTTCCTCACTCTGGAGATGTAAAGATCTTGGAGGCTGGGCAGAGGGGCCCCAATAATCCTCTCAGCAGTCATGACTGTCCGTTGTAGTCTCTTGATGTCTGATTTTGTAGCTGAACCAAACCAGACAGTTATGGATGAACACAGGACAGACTCAATGATAGCAGAGTAGAACTGTTTCAGCAGCTCCTGTGGCAGGTTGAATTTCCTCAGCTGGCGAAGGAAGTACAACCTCTGCTAGGCTTTTTTTGCAATGGAGTCTATGTGAGTGTCCCACTTCAGGTCCTGAGAGATAGTGGTGCCCAGGAACCTGGTAGTCGTTAAGACCAGTGATTTTGGGCTTTTTGGGGACCGGAATGATGGTGGAGCGTTTGAAGCAGCAGGGAACTTCACACAGCTCCAATGATCCGTTGAAGATCTGTGTGAAGATGGGGGCCAGTCGGTCAGGCAGACTTTTAAACAGGCAGGTGAAACACCATCTGGGCCTGAAGCTTTTCTAGATTTCTGCTTCCTGAAGACCCGGTTCACATCCTCTACACAGACCTTAAGCACAGGTTGAATGGTGGTGGGGGAGGGAGGGAGGGGGGTTGCAGGGGTGGTAGGTGAAGGTGTGAAGTAAACATCAGTTTAAAGATTGCAAACAAGAATGTAGTCTGAAGCTAGAGGTCATGGGAGATTTAAATGTCGTTTCACAGCTGTTACAACATTCATTGGGTTACAATCATAATGATACACGGGTCAGCAAGCATGCTTTCAACAAAAACAACAAATGGACCACACAGGGACGTTTTATTATGAACATTTATAGCGTTTTATTGAAAACCACCACCCAGTCATGAGTAAACAGTTCATATTTATGTATGTACATGGCAGAAAAGACAGAAGCTCACACCACTTTAAAAATCAAACCGAGAGTAGCAATCGTCACAAAAGGCATATGTGCAGTTTAAAATACATTAGGGAACTAGTCTCTTCCACAAGTAGAGGGGAAATAACTGTTTGAGAGAATGGTGTGCTGTGGTTGGCTATGCGGTTCGACACTTAGCCGAGAGAGAAAATAGAAGAGGGATATAGTTATTCTCTGCATGGCAGAGATTGGGTAACAGGTCTGAAAATACATACTGGATCACTTAAAGCTACACAGCAATGAGAATAAATATTTTTATAATGCATGCTGGTGGGAGTGATTCCCTCATCTCTGGTTTCCCTTTGAAATACGGAGTCCAGTCACTTCACAGTCCCTCTGAAAAAACATTGCAGGCTTGTAACTGGGCTCCCACTAGTGAGCATCTGTCCTATGAACATTAATCATTTAGATCTAGCATGTTTTATGTAAAGTTAGGGTATGTAATGTTTTTCATAAACATTTTTTGTTATACTGGTTGAAAGTCTCTTCACAACCTGGATAGCAATAGCTTCTATGGTAGTCTCAGGACCATAAAATCTTCATCCAATGTTCGGTCCGAATGATAGAATATCTTACCTGCCTGTCAACATATGTATCTGCATAACTCCACGCACCCAATAGCGAGAATTAGGCGCATGCTATTGTCCAGCCTAAGCCAGACAGTGTTTAGCCAGTGTGGAAAAAGAAATTAAGATACCATTACAGCAGTGCAAGCCAAAATTCGAAGACTTGCCAAAATACACAGAGATAGACAGTGTGGTAAAACAAGGGTAAACATTAGGGATGCGCCGATCCGATATTCATATCGGGTATCGGCTCCGATACTGCCATTTTTCTCAGATTGGGTATCGTCAGAGAGAGCCGATCCAAATCTGATCTTTTTTTTTTTTTTTCGATTGTGTGAATTATTCTGTGTTACTTCTGAAGTCATACGATAGCTTAATGGGGGCTACATATGAATATTTAAGTCCTTACATTAAAATTCACACAAACTCTTTTCTCCGTTGTGGCTATCAGTCATTCATTCAGCCTTTAAACCCTGGTCGCGTTCGATCTCTCCAAGATCATTCTGTGTTCCCATTATACTTGATTTGTAAATACATTTCTATGATTTAGCAAAAAGGAGTTTATCTTCTTGCCGGAGTTTAATGTTGTTTTGTTACTTGCTACCAGGTGTCTGTGAGAACAAAACACGGGCGTAGAAAAGACTATAAATTGTTTTTAACTTGCACAGTAACTGAAATTTAAAACTGTTAAAAGAAAGGCTCAATAACTGTTGCACAGATATAATACACTACGCATCAATTTCTCTTCCCTTTGTCCTTTTCTGCTTTGCAGTTTTTAACACGAAGCGCTTACAATGCACTTCGTGCTCATAGACTGTCAACCCTCTATATTGTGACTAAATCACTCGCATATGCGACTAAATCTTCACTCTGGGCAACTAAATGATGTCTAATATTAGCCGATGGCTAATAAATTCTCAGATTTTACTCGCCAGTGTGTGAGTTGGAGGCTGAGTATATGATTAGCACAGATATATTTTCACTCACAGTCACAGAACACTCTGACTGAGCGCTTCAGAGTTTCACTCTCCGTCAAGCGATCTGTGCTATTTTCCAGTTCATTTGAATGGATGCGCAGCGCACCTGTGTTTGTGTATTTGGCGTATCGTAATCTCTAGTGTGAAGGCGCACGACTCCCGTCGCTTTCTCTACACGCAAAGAGCGAGAGTCTTACATAACATGCAGCATTGATGCGCTACATGTAAACAATATACTTTGTTGTATTTTCCTGTAAAAATAGTTCCTTTGGAATTCTTCAGCTTTTAAGAACTGCCGGGTTTTCCTGTAGTAGGCGGAACTAATGCGCAAACGGCAATCTCATTGGCTGGTGCTCACCTATTATCGTCCCTGTTTTGATTTCAGCGAATCAGTTCGAGCGAACACACACAACCTGATTAATATTCATGAATCCAGTAGCTCATTAATCCTTACTGCATTTTTATATTGTTCTTATTAGTAGAATTCGTATAATATAATAATAATAATAATTAATAATAATAATATCTTATCAGTATTATTGTTAGTTTTATTTTTACAGGAACACTGAATGACCAAAAAAAGCACCAGCACCAGTCCTAAGTTCATGGTTACCAAGTTTTAATTCTAATTACTAAACTTCTATTATTAAATAATACTTGATTATCATATTATAATGCTTGACTGCTTGATATTAAGAGTGTACTTTCAGATATTTAAAAAGCTGTTAAATACATTCATGAATGTTTTTAATGAATGGATTTTATAATAATACAAATAGCAATGTGTAACATTTTACCATATTTAGTGTAACACTTTTATTTGTTCCCCACAAAATATTGTTTTTTCACTAAATGTTTGGATTTCTAAAATTATTGTGCACTGATTTTCTAGAATAACTTTTGCTGCCGAATTATCCACTAACCTAGTTTATGATAATTTTTTGTCATAGATTATAAATATACATAGGCCTATATTTTTTCATATTTGTTTATTGTATTTTTCTTTATAATGAAGTAGTCTGTATCTAGTATATTGTGAAAGAATGATTATCAGTTCCACACACACAGAGATATATAAATTCTACATTTATTTAAATGAGGGAAAAAAAACTTCACTGGTATCGGATCGGTATCTGTATCGGCCAATACCGAACCCTAGGTATTGGTGGCGAAAAAGGCAGATCGGAGCATCCCTAGTAAACATTGGCAGTTTTTACAAGATTAAGGAATTTGATGGAATGTTTGGGTTTCCTACGACAAACTTGCAGCATTTCTTCTCGATGGGCAATCTAAATTTCAAATTAGGGCCGTCAAAAAAAAATTTGAATTTCGAATATTCATCGAATTTAAATTAAAATCCACAAATTGTAGGTGTGCGTTAAGGAGGCAGCCTTATCAGTAGCCAAATGTCCATCCAGTTTTTGTGCTGTTTTGTTATCGACAAAGAGAACACGCTTAAAAAAAATTATTAGATTTTGCGAAAA